CCTGGTGCTTGCAGGTTCGCCACGGCAATGGTCTTAGCAGGCAATGGTCTTAGCAGGGGTGTTTCGGGGGGATGGGTCAACAAGCACAGGTGGGAGAACGAGCCAATCTCTCATTTCGGAAGGGGCCTTTCAGACTTTGGACTATTGCGAGCCGTGGGGGGGTTAGCCTTCGGGCCGGGGTGCGCGCACCCAGACCCCTTCGCAATCAAGCAAGAGAGAGAGAGCGAGAGAGAGAAAAGATAGAAGGAGAGAGGGCATTGCTGTTTCGGAGGATGTCTTGCAAACCTACAACGTGGCCGAGGCAACAAACAACTTTGTAGGCAGCGACAAGCCCTCCCAACCTTTAACGTTCGAGGCCCTCAAGCAGCTCCGGGATGTCCTCGCGACGGCACGGAGTGTCACGGTGGCCATGCGACCCAAGAGCAAGGCAGAGCCGAGTCAGAGAGCCTTCAACGGCCCTTTGTGGTGGCTTCCGGCAAACCTGTGAGGTCGCCACGACGCCGACCGCCTGAAGTGGGAAGGGGAAGGTAGCATCATATGTTCTGATGGCAAAGGCACCTACCTAGGGACCTACATAGAGTTAGATCTCTCGGATGTGGATTCTGGCCAACAAAGCGGCGCATGATGAGATCGAGCACCCTTGATGTGCTGATGTCGGTTGTAGACTCGAGCTAAGCACCTACTTTGTCCAGATGCGATGCTGCAAGGCTCGAAAAGCACTAGAGTGCTTTCGTGGTAGCCATGGTGGAAAAACCCGGACCCGGGTCCAAAGAGGATGCTGAACTCGATGAAGAGGAGGAAGAGCTCGCACGCGCACCCGAGCCCAAAACCAAGTCCTGGTTGGGAGTCTGGAGCTGAGTAGTGGGTTTCAGGCACCAAAAGTGGCGCTTGTGTGCAGCTCAAAGCGGTGTCTCCTTCGCTGTCTTATCCTGCCGCCTGCCGAGTTCCTGAAGGGAGCCGTCCAGGGAGACCGGGATCCCATCGATGCCCTAGTCGCGAAGTACAATCAGGCCAACAGTCCGGTGCCCTGCGCTTTTAAGCTCCGCTTAAGACCCTTAGAGCAGCTTTGCAGCAGCTTTGCAGCAGCTTGTGCCAGGGCCAGGACTCAGATGAAGAAGACAATGATGACTACGGCACTGAAGTACGCCCGCCGAAGCCTTTTGTTGATACACCTACCTTCAATATGTGTGCGGGCCTGAGGCCACGTTGACATGTTTGGGTACCAGTTGTCTTCTAGACAAAGCAAGCACCACCACGAGGTTTGGGCGTTGTGATCGCCTTGAATTCGGTCACGATTGGTTTGGAGACAGACTCCGTGGCCCACGCGGTTGCGACGCAAGAAGAGCATGACGATCGCCTCTGGTACATCGTTGAGCTCATCTTCTGCATAATCTTCCTGTTTGAGCTGCTGCTGCGGCTCTACTTCCATCGGCTCCGGTACTTCACAAATCCGGTGACAAGGGCATGGAATGTCGCCGACTTCATCATCGTCTCGGTCTCTGTTGTCGACACCTTGATCTTGATTCCCTTTGGCATCGGTGGCACTGCTCGCGCGTGGCCCCCAGCAGGGTCGAGTTGCAAGAATCGTACATAACACAATTGCATCTCAGAGTAAGTTAGAAAGTGAGTTCAGAGGCGTGATTGTTCCTGGAGTGAATTCCGCGGTGAGTTCCGACCGCCGAGGCTGCCGTTAGATCGGGCTTATGGATTTCGGAATGAATCCCGGAACGCGGTGAACTCCGGGGTGAGTTCACTTCACTCCCAAATTCACCCGGCGGCCACCGGAATGGGAGATTGGGTATTTCAGAATGAATTCCGGTTGAACATTGCAGTTGCAGCGGACTCCAGGACTTGTCTCGGAATTCACGCCGGACTCGTGGGAATGAATTCTAGAGTGAGTTCCAGAACTCAGCCCGGAATTCACTCTGGAATCCGCACGCCCGAGCTTGGGCCCCGACTTCACTTGAGAAACGGACACACCACCAAAATTCGCGTTTCCAAGCACAGCAGTTCGTTCCATGCCATGCTGCGAAACTTGTGCGAGTAGCACAGTAGAGCCGTCGAGCATGCTGTTCACCAGGTGGTGGCAATGTTGCGCTTTGTGCGCATGATGCGTTTGGCGCGGCTGCTGCGGCTTTTGAAGCTCTTCAAAGAGCTGTGGCTCATGGTCTCCGGCCTTCTGCAGTCGTTGAAGACGCTGGGATGGATCTGTCTGGTGGCCCTTCTGTTCTGCTACGCTTGCGCCAGAGCCTCAGCTCCAGCTCCGCTGCAGCCTCTGGAGTCTGAGTCTGACTAGGCCATTATCACGACCACGGTCATCGGACATAACGACGACCTCTACGATCCATACTTCGCAACTTCCGGTGGCTGGGATCATGAGGTGGGCGCTGGCGGCGGACATGAGCGGGAGGGATATAGGACATAGATGGCTGGTCATCTGCTGCTATGAGGGCTGAGGAGAGTTTCAGATCACTGCGACAGAACCCTAGCAGATGTTTGCTCCTCTTTGTGCTTTCGTGGGCAATATGCATCGTTACGATTGCTTTGTTTGTTCTCTGGCATCTCTTGTTTGTGGTTCCTTTGCTTCTCCGCGCTCTTTCCACAGCTGATTGAATCAGGACCGCCGGTTTTACTGTTTTCCCTGTCAGAGAAGAGCAGATCAAGTTTTCGGGGGTCGCGACAAGAAATGGAAGTGTGGTCTCTACATGAAGTAGGGATGCAGAGTTCGCAAACACACGTGAGGAGGCTGACGTTGAGTGAGCAGATACGCATGCAGGTCAGCATTCCTTCCGAGAGGTGTTCCAAAAGCTCCATTTCCTTTTGAAGCTCTGAGTTTCCCACACCTGTACAGTCCGCAGCATGGCAGTCATCGTCCATCTCTCGACTCACCGTAGGGCTGTAGGGTCCAAGAGTCGGAGGAGTTCTGAGTCGCCGTCTGAGACTTGTTGAATCTGATTGAGGTGTTGCTTTGTTGGGACTGCTCTTGCAAAGGATGGTTGCAGAAGCTTTTTACAAGATCCGGATCTTGTGCGAAGGAACACATCAACTCGCCACTCCCAGGCCAGCCCCTCGCAGCATCGCAAGCAAAATCACGCGAGTATTTGGGAGTGACAGCGCACGCTTTCGCCCCGTGCTCTTGACCCGTTCTGCGAAAGACCGCTCGAAGGAGTCCAACATGGGCCTGGGGATCCCATCATGGGGATGACCCCGAATTAAAGAACACTCATTACCAATTGACCCGAGTTTGTTCGCAAATGGAGGATGGAATTAAAATGGGCACCCCAGCCCCAATGCCCGAACCGTCAATGCATCTGACAAGCCGAGAGGCTTTGCAGTTTGTGAGGCTGTGTACTTGCCACGACACAGGCCAGAATTTGGATTCAGTGGAACCGAGGGCGTGTTGCCCTTCGCAAGCGCATACCACAGCATGTTTGCCAATCGTCGATGCCCGGAGAAGCTCAGAACCTTCTGCGATCTGCACCCGCCGCGTGCACCCGAGGTCTACTTTGCGACCGTTTGGCGGTCAACTTTTACATTGTTCCAGATCATGACGTTGGATCAATGGAACGAGTCTGTGGTGCGCCATGTTGTAGCCAATCAGCCGGCAATGCTTATTTTCTTTCTGATCTTCGTCTGCATTTCCAGCCTGGGCCTCATGAGTATCATGATTGGTGTCGTCGTGGAGAATACGTTGGCGACGGCCAACAAGGACCAGAACAAATTGAAAGCCAAGCGTGAACGGGACCGAAAGCAAGTCTTCAGTCAGCTTCAAGAGATTTTCGAGATGGCCGATGTAGATGGAAGTGGAACCCTAACCATCGATGAGGTCGAAGCCGCCATTCAGAAGCCCGAAATCTACAACAAGTTGAAAATGATCGATTTTCCAGTGGATGATCCCGGGCAAATCTTCGCTTTGCTGGACTATGATGAAAGTGGGGAGCTTACAACGGAGGAGTTCATCACCGGTTGCATTCGCATGAAAGGACCAGCCAAATCGAAGGATCTGTTGGTCGCCCAGGTTGGAGTGGATTCGATGCGAAAGCAGTACGCACTCTTTGAGCAGGAGATGGAGAAATTCCAAGCCAAGGTCGCGATGCTGGATGCCACCATTCGGGCGGTGATGTCTCATGGAGAGCACGTCTTCCTTGACACGCGGCAGTACAGGATGCGGCACCCCGATTTCAAGGCACAGACGATGAAAAGATTGGCCACCACCGAGCTGGAGAATATGCCTTGGAACAAGGACGAGGAGGCAGAGAGAGCTCAGGCTCTGGCTTTGACGGAGGGAAGGAGCTCACCGAAACAGGTACCGGGCTTGGGCCGGGCTTGGGCCGGGCGCTGGGTTTTTCTTGCTGCTTGCAAGCGCGTCGTCCTGCGAACGCCTGAGGCACTGGCAGACGGGAGCCTCCGTGGAGCGGCCGCCAACCTGGACCTGGCCATTCCGCCAGCGGCCCTGGGCCTGGGCGGCGTCGACGCAGCAGGAGGAGGAGGAGGAGAGGACGCGTAAGCTTGTTTTGGGAGTTTGGGGGGAGCCCAGCGCACAATCGCTGCTGCAGGATCCAAGGCCTTAGAAGATCGAGATGAGAGCCTGGCCATTGCCGTGCCCGGTTCGCTGTCGAACTGAGACATGCTCGTGATGCAATCATGAATCATGGAGACGAATTCGCAGACCCTTGGGCTTTTTGGACACGCTCCGCGTTTCACAAACTTCAGCTGAGCTGTTAAACAGCGCAGCCGGCCGCCAGCTGCAGAGTTAAAAAGACAGCGCAGTGGCCAAGTGGGGGTTGCGCGCGCAATCACGACTTTGCTGGGCATCGTTTCTAAGTGAAGCAAAGACAGGTCGCAGGTCTTGCATGTGCCCGACCAAAGCATTGCTTTCATGAAGCCTTGCCCAGCTCCGCAGGCTCCGCAGGCTCCGCAGGGCTCAGCATGTTTGCCAGGGTTGTTCAGGAAGCCGAAGCCTGCAGGCGACTGCAGGCGACTGCGTGAGGGTCCGGCGCATGGCTTCGTTTATGCCCAGAGCTAAGGCGCGGTTTTTGGCACCTGCCCTGATCACTCTACACACTCGGCTTGCAGGATGTCATAACCGAGGAGGACATTCAAGCGTGGGTTTCTGCCGGTGTCCGCTTGCGGCTCTGAACGAGGTTGGAGGTATGAAGTATGAAGCCTGCGTGGTCAAGTATTTAAGGTGCGGCGATGCCTCTCATGAACTCCGAGACTCGCGAGATTCTTCTCTTCGCAATGCAGGAGCACCAGCTGGTGCCTGAGAGTGGAGCACAGAGCAGCGCTGGAGGATGGCTCATTCGTCGTTTATGGTTCGTTTAGGCGCATTCTGGAAGAGCAGACCCGAGTTTGGAGCCTAGCGGCCTACCCGTGGTGCAACGATGGTCGAAAGGACGGCAGCTCAGGCCATGCGGCGAACTCTGGAGGTTCAGTCAGAGGCAATGCAGCACACGATCGAAACACAAGGCCGGCAGGTCACGCGCTTGGCCCGAGAGCTCAGAACGAAGCTTCGACGGAGCAGAGCGGAGCAAGAGAGAGGAAGAAGAAGAAGAAGAAGAAGAAGAAGAAGAAGAAGCGACGCGAAGCTAAACGAAGCTGCGCGGAGCGAAGCGAGTGATCGGCTGAGCGAGCGGCTCAGAGTCAGCTGAGATCGCCTTTGGTGGTCTCACGGCCATCTTCTCCAAGCCGGGGGCTTTGCCTTGAGCGGAGCTGCGGAGAGAGAGAGGCGAGAGAGAGAGAGCCTGTGCCCGTCCGCAGGTTCTGGCAGGACGTTCCTCCCTGGCTTCGGGACAAGCGATGGTCGATTGCGGCTGCTTACGGCCTAGGTGTGCTTGCGATCATCTTTGGGATTTGAGACGAAAACGGAGCGTCTTCATCGCCTTCGCCTTCCAAGCAGGGAGTTTCCATGCTCCTAGCGCCGAGCAGTTCCGTCGCCAGTTTATTTCGCTGTTTCGGATCTCAGGCTCATCGGCTTGTACCAAAAACATGATGCAGCCTGAAAGCCTAAGCCTTTGGCATGCATCTGGTATTACAATCCCCCTCATACTGTGCAAGGAAGCACATTCCAGCAGCGTGCCCTGTGCGGGAAGTTGCAATCTGGCACATGGGCAAGAAGCGCCTGGCTGGTAATGATCCAGGCAGGAGATTTTTGAAAGGCAATCTGAGCATGACGCAGTTGCGCAATCATGCGCCCCTTGAGGTGCTCTCACCTTCCTAGGGCGCTTCTTGCTGTCAGCAACCGCTGGGGTCTTGGAAAAGCTCCAGAACCTGGCCCTGCAAATGCACGGCATTCCCACTGCATAGGCTTGCAAGCTAGCAGCTAGCAGCTAGCACGTATGCACGATCAGGCAGGCAAGAGCGCGGGGGCAAGCGAGGGCAGTGCAGGGCAGGGAAGGGCGCGCGATGTGATATTCACTGGGACCCAATTCCAGACTCAAAAAGGAAGGTCTTCAAAAGGCTCGTTTCTTTGCCCCTGGTCACTGAGGAAGAAGCGTTTCAGCCAAGAGACACTTGCTACCTGCCACCTAGACTTTCAGTACCAACAAATATTCCCACAGCCACTACATCAGATTAGCACCATACACGGCTTCCACGATACCGATGTCAAACAGGTGTTCGCAGGTACGTCGGGATGATCAGCCCCGATGGCCGCGTTTGCTGTGTGCAAATTGGGTCCCCAGCTCATATCAGTGATCTGCAACGGCCTCTTCGTTGGAGTGCCATTGTTACAGAACAGGTTGTCCCCCCCGCACAAAAAAGGCATGCACATATTAACTTTATGTCGTGTATGTCTGTACACATGTGTATACTTCTTTGTTAGAAGAGGCCGTGTGGGCACAAGCACACATGCACACAGACATGACGCAGGTCGAAGTTGTAAAGAGTCCAAGTTCGAGTGGCTTTTGAACGAAGTTCAGAAGAGAAGCCATCCGAATGATGTCGACTTCGGATGTTGGGTATGTCAGAACATAGCAGAAAAATCGAAAGGGTGCCGCGAACTGCACAGACACACGGGGTCGACGAGCCTGCTTCGCTTGAGTCGCAAACAAGCGACTCGCGATTACCTGGCGACCAGTCTTACTCTACCTCGGAACCGTGGCAAAACATGTAAAGCGCAAGTTCGGTCCTGCAACACATCTTTCTTCTCTCGGAAGCGGCGGCAGTGTTTTAAATTCCTTGGGATGTCTTGATCCCGAAGGCCTACTCCTCGATGTCAATCGCAGCAGATGCAAAGATATGTCCCGGAACGGTTGCCTTGGGTCGTGAAGCATGCTGCGCCAGACTAGGTGTAAAAGAGCCACTCTATGATCAAAAAGCAAGAACTAGCACCTAATCGGCGTTCCGTGCTCTGCCCACACTGCATGTTCTTCCTTTTTGTGAGCTGGTTCAAGAATCTGGTATGTCGCCAAGGCGGCTTGCCAGTGCCAGGTCTCGCTCATGAGCTTGTCGCGTAAAGGGGGATTCAGGCGAGAAACGCAGAGGCAAGTGGGGCAAGATCGCCTTGATGAATGGCTTCACGTCGCGCCTGCGAGCATTCAACGCATCAACACCGAAATGTCAACACGAGCCTCAAGAAATTAAGTCAAGTGCAGAATGCCTTTGATTCGGAATCGGACATTGCATGATTGAGTGCTGGTGCATGCAAATGGAGTTGGAGCTCTGTAAATCCACAAAGGAAACCTTTCGCAGCTAAGGTCACCGCTGGAGTGGTTGGCCTTTTTCGGGATGTGTCCGGGCACCCTTTCGTTTCGTCTGCTTTGGGGACTGCCAGCAGGATGAGGGTCTTGAAGAGAAGCTGGGATGTCGCAGGTGGAGTGGCCCTGCACGAGCAAGACAGGCAACGGCGACCCTCCTGCGATTGATTTCTTGCCAAAGTTTGCAACTGCAACTTGGCAGCGCAGCGCCTGATGTGGACTCGCCCTGCCTGTTCCTCTGGGCTCACAAACCTCTTGGCTCTCCTCTTGGCTCTCCGCATGCTGAGAACGACTCGGTTTTCGTTCGATTCCTTTGCATGCGTCGTATCCAAGAAGTCCAACATTCAAGCGGTACGATTCGTAGCCTTGGCCTTGAGTACACGGTAGACCTTGATGATTCGGTTGGGTGCGCAGGGCGCAGGGTTGGACAATGTTGACAATCCATATGAGTCCACGGCCCATATAGCGCCGGCATGCGTCGAACCTTACTGTAAGCCCTGGGAAAAATGCAGAAAACTTACTCATAGCGCTGTTCACGCATCTTACTCGCCGTATGTCGCACCGTCAATTGGACAGGTGTGCTTGTCCAGTCTTGAGCCGCCCTCAGAAGCAGTTAGGCAGGTCATTTTGAGTTCATTATTCTAGGATCAGTACTCTCCTCACCCAATGGTTGTCATGGTTTTGGGCTTGTGATCACTACGAGCATTGAAAACGACTGCCGCTTGTACATGCCGCTGCCGTTTGAAATGTGAGGGCGGGGAGCCGAAGAGGTGCTGACGGACTCAGAGAGGAGGAGCTGATGAGCACCTCCGAGCGTTTTCAATGTGGGTTCTGAGGGCTGTAGCGGTCGCGGCTTTGGCCGAGACACCGCAGCTCCTTGTAGAGGTCCCTGCCGACCTGGCGGCATCGCTGCTGCCTCAGAGGCCCAGCTTTGCAACACTGGCAGAGGTGCCGCTCAGAGCTTCTGGCAGAAATTTCTGGGCTCTGGGCTGTGCAGTCTTGAAAAGAATATTTTTCCAGCACTCCTGATGCGTGGTTTTCAGCCGTCGTTTGCCTTCAGCGACTCTAAGGTTCGAGGGCTGTGCTTGGACAGGCTTGGGGACCACTCCAAAAGACACGATCTTGTTTGACGAGCTCCGGATATTGGCCGAAGGTTTTTACGAAAGTGGGCATCCCTTGCTGAAGGACTATAGCTTGGTCGAAAGGCTGCTGGCAAGAAAGAGGGAGGTGGCTGCTGTTTGCCCCTTTGCCGTCTTGCAGGCCATTCTGCTTCAGAGTGAGCGGCTGCTGCTAAGCATCTACAGAAGTTCAGCAGAAAGCGCGGACGTTCATGCCGTACAGTTTAGCGAAGCTTCGCAGCTGAACCTCGAGTTCAATTTGTTGCAAGCCTGGCTTCAGGAGCGACTCGGACTCAACACGAGCACGACGGGCTCAGACTGGCCGCACGGCTGGCCGCACTCGCCGTGGCCGTTGGCAAAGGGCTGGCGGAGGGCTCGGCGCTACTACGATCTGCTCTGGCAGGACGTCTACGACTCTCAGGACGCCTGGCGCAAGATGGAAGAGAAGACTCAGTTCGTCTCGGACGAGGAGTACCACAGCTTCTTTTTTCACGTCGTCGACACCTTCGAGGCCTTAAAGGTCGAATGGTGGCCCTGCAGAGGCACCTTGATCGCTTTCCTGCGTCACGGTGCGCGGAGCGGCACCTTGTCTGGAGCGAAGAAGGATGTGGTGGACCATGACATCGACGTGATGCTCGGCGTGGAGGACGAGGCAAGCTTCGACGAAATCGGGCGACAGGTGGAGGTTTTGTTGAGGAAGAAAGGCTGGGACCGTTGCTGGACGAAGAGCTCCCAAAGCGCAGATTCGAGCTTCGCGGGGTCCCTACGCCGCGATCTGCTGTACTGCGTGCACACGGGCCCGCCCTACATGATGCTCGACGTGACCTCCTACGTCACGTTATCCAGGGAGCCGGTTTACATGCCTTACGTCTTTGTCCACCGGATCTGCGGCCAAGGCACCAGGGGCCTCGGCCTTGCTGCAGGAGACGGCTGCAGAGTTCCGCCGAAGCTGGGACCGCTCCAATCTGCTTCCGGTGGTTTGGCGGTTCTGTCGAAAGCGTCGATCTATCCTTTGAAAAAGTGCAAAGCTTTGATGCGCTCAATCCCCTGCCCGAGCAAGCCGCTGGAAACTTTGATCGCCATGTCACACAGTGGCCTTTCCACTTCCTGCATTGCCCTTCCGGACACTAAAGGACGCGGTGACGACCCCTTCACGAGGCACTTGGCATCAGAGGGCCTCAACTTGGAGGACGTCCGGGTTCTGCAAGACCGCGCAAAAGATCTGGAACATCAAGGTTTCCAGTCAATGCTGCCATATTTTGACAACTGCAGCTTCGGCTCCTCAGAAAAACTGTGCAAGCTGGACGCCCTCAGATCGGTTTCATTCGTAGGTTCGACGATGTCGATGGTGGCCTTTGTGCCAGGAATTGCCCGAGCCTTCCCGGCCGTTGCCTACACTCCCTCCACGATCTCCGCTGGAGTCGGCTCAGACGCCCTGAGCTCGGCGATGCACAGCCCTACTGTAGATGCCCTGGCCTCGCACTAGCTCTGGCGTCTCTGCTCGTTGAAGGGCCGAAGAGCCATCGCCCGTGACACGTGCCCCGTACATGCAGGCCTTGTTGGGCCCGTCGGTCCCAGATCCCCTGCGTTGATTCTGCCAGGAACTTCCTGAAGTGAGACAGAGACAGCCCGAGCCCGTGGCTCCGGGACACAAAGTGCCTCAAGCTTGGTTGCTTTGCCCATGGGGCCCATGACGAATCCTGTCTCCGCCTCAAGGCTCGACGAACCTCAGCGGCCCGCTGAGGCTCCGCTTGTGTCATGTCTTGTGCTCGGTTATACCGTATACCGTTGAACTTGTCGGAGGCTTCCACCACGCTAGTACATCTGAGCGGCATGTGTGTCCGCAGCCCTGCATGGCAATGGGTGTGCCGGCTCGGGGGATGTTAGCTGCAGAACTGCGAGGTGAAGGCTCAGGACGAGGTTACAGGAGAGGATTCCACGGTGTGGGCGGCTCAGCCGGTGCGGCACGGACACGTGTCGGGACATCGTCGCGCTGTCTGTCACCAGGCTCGTCTTCTCGGACTGTGCCGACGAGCCAGCAGAGGGTCCCAGCCGACCGGAAGAGTGCAATGACGAAGCGGCTACAGGGAGTGCTTCTTGGTTGCTCGTGATTTGTGAGGCCAAGAATCTCCACTTCAGGGAAGCGAAAGGTGGAACCTACCTTTTCCAGCTAGGACCGGCGAATACCGCTTAGCTGGCAGCGATGCCATGCCGCCATGCGATGCTCGCGCGCTCGCGCTCCCGCCATGCAGCGCAGGGCGGCAGTGCGCTCACCCGGACGACAGCCTGGAAGCCTCCTCGGAGCCGCGTTTGTCCTTCCCTGCAGATTGCAGCTCCAACAGGTGCCTGCTCCGTAGGAGCCGTGATATGCAGTGATATGCCGTGATGCCAGGGCTGCCAAGAATCATGCATGTGCTGCAGGCACATCCTCAGCTTCCAGAAACTTGCAGAGGTGTCGCCGGAGATGCGCTCGTGAGAGATGCCATGCCGAAGCCTCCATGCGCTTTATGAGGACGAGCAACTTCCTGGTTTCCTGATCCAGTTCCTGGGAGGTGCTGTTCAGCTCCTCGGCGCAGACCAGCGCAACCGTAATTCCTGCTACTGCCAGCTCTTTCTCAACTCTACGTAGCGAACTCGAGAAGCATCAATGTGCCGGCCACATCCAAACCGAGTCAACGAGTGCAGAAGTGCAGCCTTGTCTCAAAGGAAATGTATCAGGAAAGAAGTTGGAGCGTCGTTCTTCGGAGGAGGAGGATGCTCCGGCTGTTCCGTTCAGCTGCTGTTGAGGTATTGCATCCATCCCTACCAGGGCAGTGAGAGGCATGGACGTGGCACACCATGAGCCGTGATTTTCAGTTTCTGCCAGTCCAAGCGACGGCACGGAACTCATCAATCATGTGCAGTGCGACCGAGGCACTATCCCAAGGGGCCGTGAAGCGGGTTCTGTCGTCCGCTGTGGCAGGTCGCAAGGCCCTGAGATTTCGAGTGGGTGATCCGGAGCAGCTCGCCAAGGAGGCCCTGTGCCCGGCCCGCACGGCACTTCTTTTCAACCTGAATGCTTGGCACTTCCGTGCAGCAGTGCAGCCGCAGCTGGTCAGGGCTTCAAGGTAGGGAGCGACGCCATGGATGCTGCAGCAAAGGCCCGAGCCTTCTACGAGAACGCCCGCCTTCGGATGTTCTTCCACGCTGAGATTCTATGCCTGACACGAGTCGCTTTTGCCGCTGCCACAGGCTTTTGCTAGCCTTTCTGACTCTGTTCCTACGGACAAGGTGCGAGGTCCTGTTTACCATAAAAGCGACCCTGTAAGGAACGGCGAGAGCAAGGAGTTCGAGATGTGGTTGGATGCTTTAGAGAACCCGAACGTCAAAGACGACTTTGGGAGAACGTGCTTGCAACCCAGCTTGCAAAAGCCCACCTACAATTACAAGCAACAGTGAGACGCAGCAGTGAAGACAAGTCGAAAGTAGCGGTCGGAGCCGCAGCTGTGAGGACAGATCCTTTCTTGCCCTCTTGTTTGCATGAGGCCGTGTGGCAGGACTGGCAGACGGAGGTTTGCACCCCTGTTGCATGTCAATGTTCAAGCCATCTGAGGCATATTGCAGCACTCATGGGCCACGTAGAGATTGCCAAGATGCTGCTTGACAGCCGGGACTGCAACCCAAATGCCATCGACGACCACGGAAGGACGGTGTTGTTGAAGTCCGAGTGTGACCGTAGCAAGCAGATGCAAGAAACCGTAAGCAGGACCCCGCTGCGAGTTGCCCTCGCTGACTCAGCCAAAGAATCTACCCGAGCTGGCCGGCTCGAGATTGCCGAGCTCCTCAAAGACTGATCTCCATGACTGTAGAAGACTGAAGCATTGCAGGCAACGTGAGCTAAGCCGTTGTGAACTCGAGGAGCACCGCGGGACCGATGCCACCTCCTACACGCGGGTGTATCCTACCGGAACTGTCTGAGAGTGCAACATCTCCAGGGTGTAGTCATCGGCCCACTTCGTTCGCACGTCAAGCGTCCGAGCAGATGCAAGGAAGCTGCCAAGGTTTCACACTGCACTAAAGTGCAGCGTAGCAGCTCGACACGAAGTGAAGCAGGGATGTCCGCGGTGTTGTGCATTGGGCCTTTCAGTTCTGCGATGTCCTGCACGATAGTTTTTATCGTTCGCTGTTTGCAAAGACCGTTCGTCTGACAGGAGCCTCAGCTAAAGAAGGCATTGGGGAACCCTTTGATCCCGGTTCCACAGGAGGCGCGGTGCCCACGGTGCGTGCAGGCTCCAGCACAGGGAACCTCGAACCTTGACTGTCACAGGAACCGTGCTCTTACTTTGGAGAGGGCAAGTCGCAGAGCGGGAGCCTTGAGCCACAGTGCCTGTGCGGCCGGTCGCCGCTTTTGGACTTTTTGGACCCGTCCTGTGAAGCTCAGGTTCACGGCCAGGGAGGCCTTGCATCCCGCCTCCGCCCTTCTGGCCATACACTGGTGCACAGCTCATCCGTGCAGCTCTAGTCCGCAAACAGCGAGGTGTTGTGCCACATATATCGGCACTGCTGTGTATTCTTTGCCGAAATGGCAGGCCTGAACTGAACAGACTTCGCAAAGACTAGAGCGACTGGAGATCGCAGAGACAGTGTTTGGGTCGCTAATGCTACTGTATCGGGAACTGGGAAGACCCTGGCATGAACAAAAAACACCTGCTTCCGGGGGTGCTCTCAGGTGTGACGGAGTGGCGAACTGACCTCGGCCGGCGCATTCTGGCTGCAGTGACGTCAAGGACCCAGCAAGACAGCTCTTGACTCTCCTAGACTTCATTTCTCGCATTTGCAGCTCTCTGTGCCGCATCGCACGCCGAGGCCCACGGAGGAAGTCTCAGAGGCGAAGTTTTTTTTTTTTTTCTGCCCTTTTCCTCTCATAAAAAAGGCTCCTTTTGTTCACAAGGCCAAGTGCGGCGGCTATTTCTTGCTGGGCAACTGGGCGAACAAATCATGGTAACACATGGCACACCGGAATTGCTTTTTTTCGGCATCCATTCGAGGTGACCAGACCTGGTGCAACCGGGCCTTCGACGGTGTCCCGGCGCACAAGAAGCAAGCACTCTGCAAAGACCAATGCCGGATGTAACTGCGAGGTAGTCACGGCTATGGGCAAGTGGGCTTGTCCTTCGGCATCGAGGTGCGGCACTAAGCAGGCTGTTTTCGGCCTGGAAGATCCCAGAAGTCCTGCAACCACAGCCGGCATCCAAACATCACGATATTTCACCACAAATGTTGACTGCGGAGGGATGTCCTCATACTCCTCTGCCCTTTTTGGTTTCTAAATCGGCAAAGCTCCCGCTTCAGTGTCTGCTGGCGGCTGGCGTGTCTCCAAAGCAAAGGCTAGCCGGTCGCCGGCGGTTGGCGGTTTGCTGGTTGCTGCAGTGGCCCTGGCAGTGGAAGAAGCCGATGAAAGTCAAAAACCAACGGGACACCATTGGGCGAACATTACTGTAGGCTATTTCGTGGCTATGCAGTGATCTTGGGCCCTGAGTTCTTGCACTTTCCCAATAGACTGGGTTATACTAAAAACCACAGAATCAACAGAACGTAGGAATCAATTGAATTTGTAAAACGGACAAGCTAAGGAATCAATTGATTTTCAGAGAAAAATTAAACGAACGTGAGTGGGCGCAAAATGAAACGAATTCGTGGGAATGAAGCTAAAACGGCGAAGAAATGTGTACAGATTTCTTCGTTTTCGGTTGTTCGGCGGAGGGGCTGCGGAGAGGAAGTTTCGAGGAAACTTCCTCTAAACTTCCGGCCGGGGCTGTGGAAGTTTGGCCGGGTCGGAGAGGAAGTTTGGTGGAAGTTTGGGGCTGTATTTTGTCGGCACAAACACACAGAAGCAGCTGCCGAAAGTGATCATCTGTTGGTGGTTTGTGTGACCGCACACCCGCACAAAAAAAAAAGGTCAAGAGACATACATATACGTACATACATACATTATATACATACATATATGTATACACACACATACACATGTACACGTACAGATAAACATACACAGACACACATATTCATATACATTCGTACATTCGTGCACTACACTATACTATAATTACACTACACTACACTACAAATGGATGGATACCAGGACAATGCCCTTGCTCACAGATAATTATATTCAAGTCCTCGCCACATGTACTGCTGCACCTCTCTATTACATATATATATATATAGATATATATATAGATATAGATATATGTTGTCTTTAAACCTAAGTCTAAATCCTAGACCTTAAACCAGGTATCTATATCTATATCTGTTAAGTATGTTTGTTCTTATTATGTGCTTATTAGTTCAATTAGTGTTTTGATTGCACTAGCACAAAAAATAGTGACAATAATGACAATAATAATCATAGATAGGCTGGAGTAGCCTGTCATCGCTCCAAATAATTCTATATAATCATCACCACCAGATTCACCATCGTAAGCACTGAAACCCATCTCAAAGTGTGTGCCGCTGGTGTGGTCTCGTTCCCAACCTAAAACGAAACAGATCTACGACAAGTCGGTATGATGGTGAAAGTGAAAGATGATGAGTTCGATTGTAACTTCGGTGGGATGGTGGTGATGCTGCACTGCTACTTGTGACGAGCCGACCGCACGATGAGAAGGTGACTACATATTCCACGGTGACCTTTGCTTTAAGCTTCACACAAACAGTGCTTTGTTGGGTTTCGTGGGGTTGTTTGTTGACGGGCCTACGAACAGAACAAAGTGCGGGCTTCAGCGCTTTTGGGCTTGGGTTTAGGGTTTTGGGGTTTGGGGTTTAGGGTTTAGGGGTTTAGGGTTTTGGGTTTTAAAGCTGCCAGAGCTGCTTGTGTCTAACTCCGGGCGAAGTGGAAAGCCTGTTGCAAAAAGGGGTTTTGGGTTTTTAGGGGTTTAGGGTGTTGGGTTTAGGCGGGATTTAATAGGCTTTCGGAGCCCTGTCGGTTTCCAGATAGCTCTTGTTGTCTCTTTGCCACGATAACAAATTAGACTCCCGTTTGGCTGTACGGCTTTGCAGTTTTACGGTTTAGGGTGGCTGTGTCGAGGTCTGCGAGGCTTCAAACTATTCAGGGGCAGGTGCTTCAGGCACAGTCGGAACTCATCATTTTGCATCCTTGGCGGTCCCAGTCCTAGCCATGAGTCTGGAATTGGAAATGGAGAGCCACTCGGTATCTGCTAACAATCTTCAGCACTGCTTTCGTTGGGCCGAGGCACTTAACGCTTGCCCTCCCAAGAGCTTGAACTCGTTTCTGCTGGTCCTCACCAGCAAAAGCCCAAACTAGCCTCGGCGAAATATACTTGGATAGGGCCGCACTGTGCTGAAGAAAGTGTGATTTCTCTGTGATGGCCATCATGCTTTCCCCGCTCGCCTCCTCAAGACTCGAAGCTATTCTGGCTTGCAAACATAAAAAAGCAGTGACAGCCTCCTCGAATCGTCTAGCATCGTCTCCGAGCGACACCTCGCCCCTCCGATCAATGAGGATTTCCTCAATGAGCTTGTTGAGCTTCAGGAGCAGGCTGATGTCTGCATGTAGGGCCAAATGTGCATTTTTGAAGTGGTCCCATACATCTGCAAAAGGAGCTGCCAGATACTTGATCTGGGCCCCCTTGCCACGTAGCTTCGCCGGACCTTTGGCTTTCAAGAACATTTTGATGCTGTTCAGGTAGCGGAACTGAATCGGTGTTTGATGTCGCTTGTACTCGTGCTTCAATCGAGACCAAAAGGATTGAATATTCTGTTCTGGTGTGCCGCTCATGATGTGAAAGGTCAACAACCGCAGCAAAGCACCATACATGTATTGGTCAGCCCCCAAATACTTACAGTGGAGCCAATCATAACTGAGATTGACACCTGATACACAAGGTAGCCCAAAAAGGGGGCACGATGGCTTGTCTGGCTGGGCTGCCCAGCTAGCTGGGGTGTGGCAAGTCGATCTCCATTTAGCCGTGCCCCGAAAGTCCTGCCAAGAGCATTCGCCGTGTTTCGTTGCTTTGCAAAGTGTGCAAGGTCCCTTGGCTGTGCGACTATTCGGTAGGTCTAGGAATGACGTGTAATAGTCCAGGTCGCCACAAAAACTGAATAAAATTCCAAACCATCCATCTGCGAGGGGCTTCCCAGCCCTCTTGGCATCCTCACTGCCAATCTTGTACCTGCAGGAAAGCACACAAAAAGACATTGACTCGGCTTGCACGGGTGTGGCTTGTTTACTGGCTTGTTGAAGAACCATTAAAACCAATCGGGAAACAAATCACAAATCTTTCAGCACGGAGCCAAGAGGCTTTCGACCGTCGTAGTCGTGAGTTGGCCACTTTCCAAGCCAAATTTGCAGGAAAGACCACCGAAGGATTTGGAAAAAACGGTATGCTGTGGCGGTGCTGTCTCGGCCCACTTGTCTCAGCTTGTCAAACAAGCAGAATATGAACATCAAAAGATCTGCAGTTGAGCCCTCACCAAGGAGCGAGTAGAATGAAAAGTCTGTCATCATATGTTGCCAGGACTTCCCCACCCCCGTCAGCGGAACCCCGTCGCCGTGTAGGGCGAATGGCACACATCTTTTGTAAAAGCCTGGTCGCGATGTCATCTCCGGCACCACGGCAGGATGTCCTGCCATTGTTTTCCAAAAGTTCTCACAAACCTGTTCGCTTTTGACGATGCATTTTGTCCATGTCGCCTTGTAGTTGTGGTATATGGCAGCGAATAGCTGGTGCGGCAATAGGCAAGCTTGCAGAAGTATGCCCACTGGTTCCCGAAATGGAAGTTTAAAAAGGAATGGTTCTGGTAGCTGTACTTGAGGCATACATCGGGACATTATATCCGCATAGCACTTGTTCGGGTAGGCACCGTCGCAGCCAACACTTGACAACTGCTCAATTTCATTCCAAATCTTCGGATTGTTGGCTGATGCTTCCATGTCGCTCCTAGCCAATGAAGCAACGAGTCGAATCTCCTGAGGGCTCATTATGCCCCAAATCATCTTGGTCAGCAAATACTTCACGAGCTGACTGCCGACTGTATCATGTTCCGCCTCCAACCTTGCTGCTTTCAGCCTCTGCTGCAGGCCGCCCGATCTTTTTCTCTTTCCACCGGCCATGCCTATAACTTGAATACCCGATCATCCGAGCATGCTTTTGTAACTTTAAGCATGGTTTTGCAGCTCCAGTTGGGCTGTGGGGGGTTTTACGAGCAGACATGAACCCACATAGACACCACTACACTAGCTTAAAAGCTTGTTTTATTTCGGGATTTTCTCTACACTCAGCAGGATAGAACATCTTTGTCACAAACACATGAGCCGTCTTGAATCAAGAACAAACAATCGGTGGGAGAACCTCAAGGATCAGGAGAGCCAGATGGTTGGGGCTTCAGGTTGTTTTTATCTGGGTTTATGGTGGGCTCGAGCTTTTGCAGTTTGTCGAATTCTGGGCTCCAGGCTGGTTTACTGTCACACATATTGGGTTTCAGAAGGAGCAAGACAGGGAATTTTACTGCAAGGTAATCTTCGTGTCTATACGGTTTGGGCTTGCAGTTCGGTGTGCTGTGTTCGGGCACTTATAGGCTTTGGGCTTGGGCTTCAGGGTTTAGGCGGTACAAAGGGTTCCAGATTTTTTGGGACTTTGGTGTGGGGCTACCACAGGATCCGAAATTGAACCGAGCCAGTAAACCCCCAAAGTCGGTAAGCTTCGGGAGTTTAGAATGGTTCAGGGTCTTAGACTTACCAGGGAGATTGATTTGGAGGCAATTGAAGATTTGATGGATCATAGGTTGTCGATGCCGCGACTTTGAAATCTTAAAGCTCTTGTGTGGCTACATACATGTGTATGTATGTATGTATGTATGTATGTATGTGTAGGTAGATTCGCTTATTTCCCTGTAGATATGTAGCCATATACATTGGTAGTTATATATGTAGAAATAAGCGAATCTGCCTACACACACACACATACATGCAACACATCAAGAGATAGATGAGCAGGTGAGTACAGACACAGATGCACATATGTATAGGTGTCTATACTTATATGTGAAGTAACACATGTATACTATAGAGATATGGGAGTTTCCGCAAATAGGGGGTACCTTATTCTAGGGTCTCTATAAAAAGGATCCTACTGTTTAGGGTACTACATTAGGGTCCCCTATTTTCGGAAACTCCCATATGTGGGTTCACTGTGTATTGTTCATGCATGTGTAGCAAACCCCGATTCCATGCGACGAAAGCCCTAAACGTGACTCACAAGCCTCGTCATCCCAAAGAGAAACCTCCTCCACTATAGAAGCCTCCAGCATTTAAAACCTCTTTTGCGAGATCAAACCCTAGTGCCCTAAATCCTAACTTAGACTCGGCAGCCGCACAGTAGTGAAGGCCACTATCGCCAACCCAAAATTATCAGTCCTCAAACATAAACCCTAAGCCCTAAGCACCAAATCGGAGCTTGGCCCCGGTCAAGAGGGTTAAGGGTTGGGGCTTAGGTTTAGGGTAGGC